CTCCACAATTATATGTATTTTTTTTTGTTTTATTATTTTTGAATTTTTGTGTGTGTTCATGGGAATTCAAACCCTCCTCCTCCCACAGCTGCTTCAGGAGTAGTTGATTTTGGTGGGCTAATGGCTATCCAAAGCAAAGAAAGTGTAATGGCTATCAAACCTGACCAAACTATGACAATTGTTGGTGTCTTCCCTCTCCTCCCCATCAACCCTTTTGCAAAAGGGTACAAATGGGCCAGAACCCAAAAGCTAAAGAAGGCCCCTCCTATGAACTTGCTCCATTGGGGCACTGTGCTGTAAATTGTCCTTGAGAATGCCACTCCCATGGCTATTATGTTCATCATGGCAATCACTATGGGAGGAACCATCAAGGAAGTCCATTTCACCAAGTACAAATCCGCGTATATGTCCTCGTTCTCGTCCCCGGCAGACTTTGATGTAAGCGTGAATGAGATTTCAATCCCGGCTATGACCTTCAACAGGCCCTGTACCACAGCTGCTAAGTGAGCAGACGTGCCTGGAATTAAAGATGAGAAGGTTCATGTCAATAGAAATGTTAAGTTCTCAAATTTATGAAAAGACTTTAAAATATGTTATGAATATTAGGATGTGTTGATGGATGTTTTATTTCTTACCTGAGATGAGCCAGAATTGTTCGTTTCTCCACCACTCTTCCAACCCAATGCCTGACCATTTCACCTCCAGGATGGCTAGGGAGATTAGACAGATTGTTATGATCAACAAGTAGACCAAGAATGTGACGTTGAGTGTTTGAACGATGAAGTTGCCAGAGAAGAGGGAGAGTGCGGGGAGGAAGCAATATACGATGAGGAAGATCGAAGTGAAGGGATAAATGCCAACGTTGAGATATGCGAGACGTTGTAGAAGCTTAAGGCGTCGAGAAGCGAGCAATGCATTGTTTCTTGAGAAGAAAATCTCGACCGAACCTGTCGCCCATCGGAGCACTTGATGGAGTCGATCAGTGAGATTGATTGGAGCTGATCCACGGAAAGCATCACGTTTGGTAATGCAGTACACTGAGTGCCATCCACGGTTGTGCATACGGTATCCGGTAACGACATCTTCTGTCACCGAGCCATAAATCCATCCCACTCGTTCCCCCCATTCGGTTTTATCCTCATACCTATTAAATAAAGTCAAAGACGACAATAAGCAGCGTGTTAATTTGTGTATGCATGCATGTGTATTTTTTTTTTTCTTTTTAAATTTAGTCCATAGTGTTTAAAAAGTTTACATAATTTTATCTTAACCTATTTTTAAATTGTACTATTTTCATTCGTAGATGTCAAATGTGACTCTATGTTAAACTTATGTGACATGATACTAGGCAAGTTTTAGAAATTTGAAAGAACAATTAAGCCACCTAAGAAAGAAAAAAATCCAAATGTCTACTAACTTTTTAGAAATTTTAAGCCTGAATTAGAAAATTACTTTATCACCTAGGTGGCATATTTGTTTCTCTAAATTTATATCAAACTCAAATATGATAATTGAAACATAATAGAAAGGGTATAATTGAAGTAGGTTAAAATAAGGGACTAAATAGAAAATTTTTAAACATAATATACTAAAATGTATGATTAAGTTATATTTTTTAGTTGAGTCGAGTTGATGATACCAGCAGGAAATGACCGAGACGGCTTCAGCAACCGTTGCAGCATCGAGCGGTTCACGTGGAACTCGAAGGGCGCCAGGAGGTCGTCCATACTTGACTGCAGAATGATCAGCAAGAGGGCGACCTTGGAATTCTGCAACCAGTATTGACTCAGCCAACATGTTAGAATTGCCAAAACGTTTGGGAAGTAGATTCACATCAAGATCAGGATCAAAATCAGTGGCTTGCAAAGGTTGTGTTTCTGCTTGATCATTATTTTTATGCTTAATCTTATCGGGTTGCGGCGGGTCGAAACCATAGAGCGCGAACCGCCTAAACATACAACCAGTCCCAACGTAAACCGGACCTTGTATGCCATCAAGTGCTCGCATGTTGCCATCAAAGAAGACAGTATTATGATTGGCATATCGATCAGAAGGATCAATACCTTCAAATCTTTGAGGGAATTGAATGTAACATATATCTTCTCCCCCACGGTCCATCATGAAGCACATTCCTTCGCGAATGGCTTTGCAATTGTAGATGTAATGGTCACAATCAAGGTTGAGAATGAAAGGACCATTTGACAAAACGGCTGAAGCTCGTACAAGTGCATTCATGGCACCTGCCTTCTTGTTATGATCATATCCGGGTCGTTTCTCTCGAGACACATACACGAACATCGGAAGACGAGTGTCTACATCACTGAAGTCTATGATCTTCTCGTCCGTGCTCCCTATTAATGGATCGGGGCTCGGAGGCTTCAACATCACCTATTGAAAAAGATATTGATAACGACAAAAGTAATTTTGGTCATACTTAAATCAAATAGAGATTTGTTTATACCTGAAGAATTCCAGCATGATCACCCTTAGAATGGTCACTAGCAGAGACACCCCAAGTTCCAGGCCAATGGGTGCCATCAGCCATCCATGTCGCTTTTTGAACCTTAATCGGCTCCATGGCATCGGCCCCTGTTTCTCTCATGTGCTTCCACATCTTCATCTCCTCTCTCGCATTGAAAGCATCTGATCGCCTCCTAATCGAGTCAGGAAGCCCATTCGTTCGTACCTTAAACTCATCGTACTCTCGCTTGATCTTCCTTCTATCCTTCACAAAATCTGACCTACTCTTGTTCTTAGTTGGATCCACTTTTAAACTAAAATAACTCTCTGGATTTCTCGGCTCRATATCGTGCTTACGACAAAACGGTACCCACAAATCTGCAAAGCTCGCTGCCTCTGCCATGGCCTCGAATGTCAACAGGGCACCTCCATCATCAGAGATGTAGCAAGCAAGTTTTTCCACCGGATAATCAACGGCAAGAATAGATAAGATCGTATTGGCAGTGACAAGAACAGGTTCCTTTTCAGGATCAGCAGTCGACACAAACAAGTCAACTCCAGGCAGGTCGGAACGACCTGTTGGATTCGATGGGCACGGTGCATCGAACTTATCGTGAAGCACTTGAAGATCAGTTGCACGATTGACGGGACACAACTTCGGAACCTGATCAAGAATCCAAGAAAAAGCGAACCATATTTCACAAACAATTGACATCAACCACAACCATATTGCATCTTCATTTGGATGTTTCACTCTCCAATGCAAAAAGAAACCCAACACCACAAGTCTAATCAAAATCAACAACCTGCAAAACAATAACATAATTGTTGATTTAATCCTGTCTACGATTGTATCAAATCAGGAGGCTCTATGTTCGAACTCCTATATTGTCATTTCATGTTCTAAAGTACCTATAAGGACTGATGATGCTTGCTGGGATTGGAAACGTTCGACTCAACGGTTTCCAAGAAGCATCCATTGACTCCATCACCCCATCACGAAACTTGTCATCTCCACCATCTGCATAGCCATCTTCTGGTGTCCAATATGCATTACCAACCCCATAAGTTCCTTTTGTCTCAAACAACCACTTATTGTGATCAAATTCTCCGCTTTGGTTTAGTTTCATCATTGACATATTTTGCCCGCCTTTAGACCCGTCTGGCCCTTGTAATTGTAATGCTCCTCCTGAATAYTCATTAGGATCATCATCATAATCGGCTGATTTGTATAACTCTTTACATCCTGGACATAGCCCTGTGTCCTTTTGGGCGTCAAGATAACAATCCCGACATATTCGAAACCTGGATACACATAATGTTGCACCTCAGTACAAGCATACACTATCATAAGTAGTACGTAAAAGACATTCCAAGTTCGTCGAAGCTAGTTTCTTTTAAAATAAATCATAACTTGTTTGGATGAAGCAATTGGGTTTTATGGTGATAAAAATAATAGTGATTAGTTTAAAAATATAATTAAACTTGAAGATAAAAAGATCCAGCTATTCTACTTCTTCCCAGCCTAAAATGAAATGAAACACAATTTTGAGGTGCACCGGGTGCTTCAATTGCGTACCAAGCAACTAGATTTAACTCCTATTGTAACTTATTTCTAGATGTTCAGAGATTAGACTAACTATTATATATGTCTATTACAACCTTTATAAATGGACGAGAGGTTCTATGTCTAGATCTTGTTTTATGCTCAGTTTAGTACCTTGGATTTTGAAGGAATTCAAAATCGTGATGGATTTCAAATGAATTCCACTGTTTGGTACCACATGATTTTGAATGATTCGAAATCTTACTATTTTTGCTTAAGAAAATTTCCGGATCAAAATGATCGGATTTTGCAAGATTTCATAGAATTTCGAAATAAATTACCTATTTAACCTCGTCATATTTTAAATTATAATTAATAAATTTAAACTAAAAGTCCAGAAACATTTTTATTTTATTTTCAATTCCAGCGAACATCCAAACAAATTTGAAATTTAATTTAATTCGTTTCAAATCATTCTCGCTCCAAACAAGATAAAGAATTTAAAATCATTTCTCAATTTCAAATCACTGAATTTAAATGCATTTCTTCAACTGGTTAAAGTTTTTATTTCTAAAGTAAATTTCCATTTTAACTGGAACGAAAATCAGCGTTAACCTAATTTTTTCAGAATTAAGTAACTTTTAAAAATGTAAGTTAATTTGAAAATGACAATTTGAACCTGCATTCACAAGGGGTGATATCGATGCCACGCTCATCCTTCATGACCTTGCCATCACAAGCCGGCATGGCACACGAAGAGCCCTTAGCTCCAGCCATCTGGGGATGGCTCACTTCTGAATCTATCACCTTATCCATGAGATGCGCTCGCGTCACGCTATTGAATCCGCCAGTAAACAGCGAGTTTGAGACATATTGCTCCTCCGCTTTGGTGGCTATTGACGAGTCCATCGGTTGATTATCTGGTGTCGGAGGAATATGCACAGTGTAGTTAATATAATCTCCTGAAACCTCTCCTGACATGTCGAGATCTTCTCTCGACAAACTAACATAACGGCCACTCGAGGTTCTTCGCGCAAACTTAACCGTTTGTCCAACCGAACCCCGATTGCTCGTAGAATTATTAGACCCGCCGGGGCTGCGAATGGCCTTCTTTGATGGTTGATTGGTTAAAGATGCCATTGTTATTGTTAGATGTTCTTCTTCCCTTAATTTCCTCGAAAGATTTTCCTCTGGTTTCAATCAAAACATCCTTCGTAAAAACCCATGATCAGATGAGAAGAAGAAAACTCCACAATCAACCTCAAATTTCACGAACAAAAAAGAAAAAAAGAGTTGCTTTCAGCTCCGACGGGAACAGTGGACGGGAAATGTGGTTGAAATTACAAGTTTGGTGAGAGAATGGGGAGGGGATTTGGTGGGGCAATGTTCCAAGAAGTTAGGAGATCATATGGTGGAAACAGGGGCATAGGATTGAGGGAGAGGCAGAGAGGTTGATCGGACGGTGGGTGTGTCGTCGGAGAAAGACCAAATTGATCGAATCCTAAGTTTAGGATGTTTCCGTTTGCGGATTTTAAGGATTCTTGTGTTCGTGGAGGAAAACATTTTACACAGTTTTGAGGGCTCTTCAATGGACGGTTAATTCGGTTAATTTTGGTCAGCAAGTCCTCCAATCAGATTGGGTTTTCATAAATATGACATTTTTCAACAAAATTAAGGGAAGAAAAAACATATTTTTTTAGCTTTGTTAAAGAAAAAAAAAACATATTTGGTAGTACGTATCTTAAATTAAATTATAGGGATTGAATCTGACACCAAATGTTTTTCTAACAATTTTCTTTTTCTTTCAATACTTTTAGAATATAGCTTAGCAGTTATAAAGGGAAAAATTTTTCTATACTACTTTCTTTCACTCGCTTCGTATCAACAAAATTTAATTCTTTAAAAAAAATCGACAACTTCTAAAATCGACACTTATTTAGTAGGGTTACTTGGGTCTATAGCATTGTTGGCCGAATTAGGCCATACTTTGTCTTTAGTTTTGGCCAATTGTGGGCCTTAATACGGTTTTTATGTCTAGGCCATGTATATTAGAAGTCTCACTCGTCTTTTCAATTCTCTTTTCTAAGTTGCATGCCTACCAATTTACTAGGGATTTCTTATCACATTTGTTTTAATTATAATATTATTATAGAAAAAAAATAAAGTTGAAAATAAATGTTGTATTACAATAATTTAAAAAAAAACCAAAATTTTGAATATATACCTTACAATTTTATTAATATTTATATATATGTAATTTAGAGGTAAGGGTAAGGTATCAATTGTGTGTTCCCACTCCTTATTGGATTCAAGGTCCGTCACAATAAAGTCCTTGGAAAAAGCCTCGCTTATTTCTCTACCCCACCTCTCTAGATGGATTCCAAGCTGGTGTGTTGAAAAAAGGGGTAAGATATTTGATATGATATTAGTTTTTTGTAATGTTCKAGTTCAACGACGTTAAGAAAATAAGTACATGTCTATTAAGCAGAGTAGAAATATAATATTAGATGTTAAATTACATATCATTAGTTTAGTTGAAAATAACTCATATTTCGAATTAAGGAATTAAATGGGCATCCATAGAATTGGAAACTCATCCAATTTGTATGACCTAATCCATAAACTACTATTTGAAAATTTGTCCTACTTCAATCTTTTAATATCTATTAATATAAAAAAAAACAGTTTTAAAAATTAGAAATTGACACTTATTTAACCAAACATAATTCTAGCTTTTTTCTCTTTTTTTGACTTGAACACTGACCCTACAAAGGTAATTGATGAATTTCTTTTAGTACAAGTGAGGTCAAGGGCCCTCTTGTCCTGTCAATCTTATTCCAACCATTACATGTTGACATAAAAAATAAAAAATAAATACTGAATTGTCAATTTTTCAATAATGATCAGATCTGGTAGTATTTTTATTGAATAAATCTTCCAAAACTCATAAATCTTCCAGTAAAATTTATTCAGAAAAAAGAAGAAAAAAAGTATGAGAGCATTTGTGAAGAAGAGCTTGCATATTTGTTTTAAACATTATACAAGTTTTGAGGATCCCCACCACGGAAAAGAGACCCCCAAAACAAACAGACCACTAAACTTAAAACTTGTTTCCAGCCACCAAGGATGAACAACAAATTCCTACACACTTTTAATCCCAACAAACTCTAAACACAGAACCAAACACAAAACAACAAAGAATTACAAACGTACACAAGTTACAGAACCAAAAAGAACAGAACAATACTGTGTTTTCTAGAAGGGGAAAAAAAAAAGAAGCACTGTTTTTACTAGTTATTTTTTCCTTCTCCTTTTTCTGCTTTATACATTATTATTTCTTAATTCTTCCTACCTCCGGCGTGGCTGGCTCCGGCGAGCTCGGTGGCGGTGGGGACTAGGAGGAGGGAACAACGCTGGCCATGTCTCTGCTAGATCTGTTGTATTTCATGTGGCTCTTCACTAGCTGGCCTGCGGCAAGGGCAGCCATGAGAGAGAGCTCTCCTGCAAGCACAGAACCAGCAACAATGGCGGCCAGTTGCCTGGCATTGGAGCCTGGTGCGTCTCTGTTGGCGCCCTTCACTCCCAGCAGATTCAGACAAGCGGATTGGGAAGCCAATTGGGTGCCCCCACCAACGGTGCCCACCTGCACGGCACAAAGGACAAACAAATTTCAATGCACTYTATATGCCACATGTGGGCAGGAACAGCGAGGCCAAGCCAGATGACCCCTTTTTTTCAGTCTTTGTACAGACTCTATAACCATCATTCTTGTTCTTTACTTATTCTTCTCAAAACGACAAAATAAAGTTTCTTTTGTCCTTGAACTATTAGATTTCATCGGTTTGGTTCCTCCCCACCAATTATTTCTGGGTAAATTACATGTTTGATCAATGAATGGTAAAAAATTGTTCTAGTAAGCCTTGAACCTTTGTTACCTATCATCCTCAAAGTTTCAGCATTGTGTTAATAGATCTTAGAATGATCTCGAAGATTCGGACACTTTTTAAAGTTGGACCTTCCAGAAAGAGGACTCATCTTATAATTTAAGAATGGGAGTGAACTTTCAATTAAATATTTTCTTTTAGACTATAAAATTTGCATATAACAAACCATTCTAACATTAGAAACTGTTTTTGATGGATCATTTTTGGAAAGATCTATACTTATTTTGAAGCCCATCGTTGAGCCACCGACCTATAGATTCAAATAGGGATCTATACACACATCTACACTTGACTCTGCATAAGTTATAATGGAGCTCTTTTAGAACTTCTAAGGTTTAAATGGTTAGCAAATCATAGCAAGAACCAAATCACATATAGAAGAGTCTTTGATTTAACGTGAATCAGTATTGAGAAGGTGGGAAAAGCAAAAGAATTACCTCAATGGAAGGCATGGTGACGGATACGTGAAGATCACGGCCATCATTCACAGCTTCCATCATTGTAATGCAGTGAGAACTCTCCACGTTCTGTGCAGGGTCTTGGCCAGTGGCTATGTAAACGGCAGAAACAATGTTACTGGCGTGGGCGTTAAATCCTCCTAGAGCTCCAGCCATGGCGGACCCAGTAAGGTTTTTAAGCATGTTAAGCTCCACCAAAGCCCCCACGTTTGTTTTCAACACCTTCCTCACCACGTCACCTCTAATAATGGCTTCACAAACCACCGATTTGCCCCTTCCTTCGATCCAGTTCACAGCGGCGGGCTTTTTGTCCGAACAGTAATTTCCTAAATTATTAATAACCAAACGAATTTCATATGAGTTCTATGAATCTGAAGTTTGAAACGAGATTCCGAGTATAGGGGGAAGAAAATCAGATCAAATGTTGTAGTTACCAGAGATGCCGATTACATCCATGTCGGGGAAATCCTCCTGCAAGAAGTCCAGTACGTTCTGCACGCCTTTCGAGACCATGTTCATACCCATGGCGTCGCCGGTGCTGCACAAGAATCTCATATAGAGGTTTTTGCCGGCAATGGCGCACTTGATGTTCTGTAATCTGGCGAATCGGCTAGATTTGTTGAAGACCATAGACAGAGTGTCGAAATTTTCGGGTTCCTCCAAGAACATCTTCAACTCAGCAGCTCTCTTGGCGGTGGCGAATCTCACCACCGGAGCTCTGGTCATTCCATCCCTCAACAACACGCTGTTGGCTCCTCCAGATAGGTGGATGGCCTTGCATCCTCTATTGGTGCTCGCCACCAAGCATCCTTCGGTCGTAGCCATCGGAACTGAAAATTCTCTCCCATCGAGCAGAAGCGGTCCAGCAATCCCCACCGGAATCTGGACGTACCCGATCGGCATCTCACAGCATTGCCCTARAATCGAATCGTAATCGAAGCCGTCCAAAGGCAGACCAGAGAGAGACTTACCGGTA